GACCTTCGTTTTGTAATCTCGTTTGCATGTTGCTTACTTGTAGAAACGATGGCGTCGGCTTGTGTTGGCTGGTCGAGCTGTGAGGCCGCAGCTCTTCTACTCGTAGGCACGTAGTAACCGCCAGTTTGCTTGCGCTGTGTGGTGGCTGCGTCGACATGGGAGCTTCATGCATACCTTCATGCATACCTTCATGCATAGCTTCATGCGTGGTTTCATGCGAAGTTCCATGCGAGCGTTTCATCGTGACTGTTACCATTATTTGAACCTTTAAGCGTGGCTTCATGCGAAGTTCCAAGCGAAGTGTTAACCGTGACTGTTTATATGCAACTTGGTCTCGGCGAGCTTCATGCATGCGTGTGAATCGGCATTCGGGCCGCTATCAACATCCTGATCTGAACTGATATCGCGATTGTGCCGCGATTCAGCGAGGCTTCATGCGAGCTGCGTACGGGTTATGCGGCATTCGGATCGTGATCGAAAGATTGATCTTTAACCTGATCTTCATCCCAACAGAAGGATTTAGATCGGGGGGAGGGAAGGAAGTTAGTATGCTGGGGGTTAGGCGGAGGTAAGGATTTCCGCGGGCAAAGACGATGTCGCGAACGATCAGGTCGGGACGCGGGTCGATGAGTGATGAGCACTTGGCTCAAAGAACAGTCGGTATGGGTCGGGCTTACGGGCGCACACGACGCGTGTTACCGTGATCACACGAAATACAGGCCACAGGGGAAAGGAGGCGATAGAGCCTACTCGGATAGCTCCGAGGGAAGGATACACCGCGCTCAGCTAGGCTGCTTGAAAAGGACAACGAAAGTAGCTTGTGTTCTGGAGGAGAGAGAGGCTGGGATTTTGGCACGGTGAGTAGATGAACGTTTAATGAGGGAGAGAGAGGAGATGAAAGGGAGAGGGATTAGGAACGTCTGGTACGGAACTGGGATAATTCTTTGTGGGTTGGGTTTGATTTTGATTGGATCCGTCTTCTGAAGTGATGGATACTTCGTGCGCTAGCTGTGGAAGACCATGCGGTAGGGGTAGACGTTTTATGACCGTACGATCCAGATTGATACATGCGCTGAAGGACTATGTAGAGGATACTCTGCGACCTATGCATTTCATGATTGGTTTCGTGGAAAATGAGAATTTGAGGAATGGGTTGTATGACTGTTTGATGAGCTTGTTGATTAAGATCGAGACGACTCTGCTAGCTTTACGAACTCGGCGCACGATCCAGTATAGGGAAATTATCGATATTTGGAGAGAGTAGGACCTGGATGCTCACCTAGACGAGGAGCCGGGAGGAGAGAGCGGACACAGTAGCAGATACGGAGGAGGAGGGTGCGCTTGTACGGGTATCGGGAGACCGAAGTCACGAGAAAGAAATAGGAGGAGTGATACTGATCGACGACGAAGATGTACTTGACCACGGGACCGTCAGGAGGTGGCGGACAAGGGGTCGCGAACGGCCAACAAATCAGGAATGGACAAACATATGGGGCGGCAACTGGATACGCAGGAGGGGGTGGGAGGATGGGAGGAGGGAATAATGCGTGTCTCAACTGCGGTAAACTAGGACACATGGCGCGAGATTGTTGGTCGAGGCCAGGGAGAAATACGGGCGGAATGCAAGCGGACCTGGAGTTGGAGGAGATGAAGGAGCAGTTTAGGTTGGCTCGTAAAGAAAGACTGGAACAGGAGGAGAAGAAGAAAAAGGAAGAAGAGAAGAGGATTAGAGAGGAGGAGGAGATTATGAGGAATTTAGACTTTGCACGGAAAGCTGAGGAGTTTAAACTCCAGCTCCGAGCCGAACTTCTTGACGAATGGAGGAAGAACCAGGCGAATGCGGTGAAATCAACGGAGAATATTGGAAAATCCGCGAAGAAAACAAGAAAAAAGAAAAAGAAGAGACACCTGACGGAACATGGCGGACAGAAGAAGCGGAGAACTCGAAGGAAAAGGAGAAGTAGCGATTCTAGCGAGGACTCGGAATCGTCGTGCTCGGCGAACGACGAGTCGATCACGTCGGAAGATTCATCAGGATCGGATACGAGCGGGAAGATCACACGAAACAAAGAGCGCATGAAGCGGGGGACAGGGAACAAGAGGACAAAGGCCAAGACGAAGAATAGCAAGGGCAAGGGCAGGATTGAGGAGATGCGTACACCTATTAGGATGTACAAGAAGGGGGAAAGTTCCAGGGCTCGGAAACAACCACAAGCGATGGAAGAGGAGATGCCGGGGGTGAAATCTCCCGATGAAGTGGAGCCTAAGACGCCCTTGACAGGAGGTTATAAGGGGCTGGCGGTCGGGTGTTCGCAGAAAGGCTTGATTGAGTTCTGCATATCGGCTCACAAGATCTATTCGGCAAAAAAGGCAGACAAACTCAGGAAGATATGCGAAAGAAAGGTATCAAGTACACCAAGAAGCCGAAGATCATGGAGATTCTAGCTAGGCACCAGGTACAACTAGCGTATGATGGTTTCGACGACGCACTGGCTAACGAGAAAGACACCATGAAGACAAAGGCATCAGGGACGCCAAAGAAAGAGTTCATGAAGGATAGGATTTCCATGGAGAGACTGGCAAAGAGGCAAGAACCGACCATTATTAGATCGGATCCCGTACAGCCAACGGAGGAATCAGACTGAAGGTTAACGACACCATCAAACGCCGAGCTCTGGGAGGAGCTCAGCCGGTGGCTGGACTGGAGGATAAAGCTGAGGGAACAGGGGATTACTGGCGAAGTGGGTAGAAGTGTAGGGAGTGCCATTACATCGACTTTGCTTCTTTTGGCAGTACACGGACAAGTACCTCGGCTAGATAAATATATCACTAGATAGGTAGGTTTGACCGACCTGTTGAAGCTAGACACCGGGGGGGTGTATGTGATTGCTAGCCCTTGGACCAAGAAGGTATATGTCGGTTGCACGGTTAGGCCATTGATACAGAGATGGAGAGAACACTGCCGTAATACGCTGAGTGATTCCTTGGGACTCGCTCCACACTTGTACCGCTGGCTGAGGAGGTTTGGCGTAGACAAATACGCCATTATACCAATTAGGCATGTGAGCGAGAAAGATGATTTCGAATTCGAACGCTTTTTAATCGCTGACTTCAGCCCGTGCCTGAACACCAGAGACATTGGGAAGAAGGAGAGGACTACTAAGGGAAGAAGGAGGAAGGGGACACGGGAAAGAAAAGGGAGAAGGAGAGAAATGCTAGTTAATAAAGTGATTAGCTTTAAGTTCGGAGAGTTAGAAGTGGCTTCGCTACTCACCTGGATGAGGAAGCAGGCGGAGGAAGGGGTGGGGGAATTCACAATTAGCGACCATGCCAGTACGGAAGCTGTTGGGACTTTATAGGACAGCAGGCTTGTTCACGGATAAGCAAACAAAACATAGACTGAGATTGAAGTTAGACAGGGTATTGACCAGGAAGACAGGGGTCAGTGTGCGGAGGAAGATATGCGTGAAGTTGTTATTCGACATTAGGGTACTTAAGAAGGGAGTGCGTACGGTGATGGAGAGGACGATAGAAGGAGCCATTGGTGATAAGGGACTCGCGGATTTTGTGAAGTCAAGAATACGGATCGTTTGGGTACGAAACCGAAACGTGGGGGAGTTACTACACAACCATAAGCTATTCGCCTCGATCGAAGAACAGATTTGCATGTGCAGTTGCTTTGACTTACCAAAGCACGAGGGACATGTGCTGACGAGATTCGCAAATTTGGATACACCGAGTTTTGTGAAGAATGCGAGGAACATTACGAGACCGGCTAAGGCTAATAGCGTGGGGACTATTGCGCGGGCTATTGCGTAGGCTTGCAAACATATGAAAGGAGTATCGATACCCGCTGTAGATTTAGAAGAGGTATGGTTGCATAGAAGGGAGGAGACGGCGGCATGGACGGACAGCGAGGTACTTGAGTGGGGCAACCGGTTTAAGGGCTTAGTGCTGACTCCGATAGATCGGAATCAAGGGGATACCGTGGTCATGTGCCCTATCCTTTACCGGCATGGGTTCGGGAAGACCTTCGCCTGGGAGGCAAACTACGAGCACATCGGTGGTTTGGATCTGGAACGAGACACTGTTAAGAAGATTAGGGATGACTTCCATACTCACCGCCTTGACACGATAGGTAAGTGGAGGGTCGATGGTAGACTAGGAGCAGCCTACGTCATCCCAAAGCACAAGGACCTCACTCGATGGAGGCCCATCGCGCCAGCACCAGCAGACCCTGTAGCACTCGCGCAAAAGAGAGTAGCTAAAGCACTACACTGTCTGCTGAAGCGACTGTCTGAGAATAGCACGTTCTATCTTAACTCTATCTCCGAGCTGTCGGGCCAACTGAACGCCACGACGGTGAGGTTGAGAGTGGCAGGATGCGAGCGTGCGATAGGGAGATGCTATAATATTAAACACATGTTTTCCAGGATACCGCACAACGCTGTTAAGGAAGCGGTCCGGCAGTTGCTTAGGAAGTACGAAGATGAAGGGGTCAAACAGGTAAGGGTTTCCATGAGAGGTAAGTTGTGTGTTATCAGCAACAATAAGAAGAAAATGGACGGGTATGTGAGTATCCCGTTGAAGAAACTGATGACTGCGGTGGCATTTGATCTGAGGCATTCTGTGGTCAAGTGCGGGCAGACACTCGTGAGACAGGTTTTCGGCATTCCCATGGGGAAGTCGACAAGTCCGATTTTGGCTTCCATCACGTGTGCGATGGCGGAAATGCGTTTTCTGAGGGAACTGGGATGTGACCGACGACTGGTTGGGGGATGGCGGATCGTGGACGACATCACTGTAGTGGTGGGTATAACGGAACAAGCAATGATCGAGGGATACGAGGAGCAGGTGTTCGAGAGATTTGAGTCTATATATGATGAACATCTTGAGATCGTACGAAAGGACGAATGTGGCTTGACTTGGGACTTTGTCGGTGGCCATATGTTCGTCGGTTGTAAGCCGCTGATGCTGCATTACACACCAGCGACCAAGAATACAGCAGCGCTGAATGACGAAGGTAGACTGTTGTTCCAAACTATGCAGGACTATAGCTCTTACTCACCTAAAGCGGTGAAAAAAGCTGTTTTGACCGCCACTCTGAGAAGAATTTGGGGACACACAACTAGCAAGCAGTTGGTGCTTGGGGCCATTGGGTTTGCTGTATGTGAGGCGGACCTCTGGGGATACCCCCCCGGAGGTCTCTCTCGATGCTTTGGTGAATTTGACCAAAGCTGTGCCGACGCAGGCACTCTATTCGCTAATGGCAGCCATGAGAGCATCCGCGGAGTGGGTGAAGGCAAGAAGGAGGGGCTTAAGGCGGGCCCGGAACAACCTCGGCACAGAGGCACATAGCCACAGTGTGTGGGCAGATGACGAAGGGTTTTGAAGCGCACTGCTCAACTGCTCATTTGCTGAAGCAGCTTGCTTATTTTGCCTACTTCGTCGTTTCGATGGTTTGTTGGTTTATTTATTTTATTTTATTTTATGTTGTTTAGTCTTCCGTAGGAAGAATTTTGGCCGATTTTGGTATATGGATACCGGTCTTCCTGGATACGGAAATAGCATTTTGGGGTACCAGCACGATCGATGAATGGAATGAGGGAGGGGCATGAACTTAGACAAGCAGGTAGGCAGATTCTAACGTCGTTTCGAAAATTAGACTAGGCTACGGACAGTCGGGTCGCGTCTTGACCGGCAGGTCACGTGATTTGCATATTTAGATCTTGTTGAGTGATCTGGGATACAAACTCACGGGGC